ACCGGCATGTGATTTTTCCACCCAAAGAGTGCTTGCCGCTTCTCTTTGAAGTCTGGCATCCTTTCACCCTCAGGTCTTAGCTTTCCCATCTGGACCACCATCATTTTAATCCCAGACTACTGAGACTGGCCACTTAATTGGTCTTCCCGTCCACTCAAGAGACCTTTCCTTATCACTCCATCAAAGTCAACCTCCTGTTATACTCCATGACTGCACTTCTTTGTTTCTTGGTCAGATTTCTAGCAATCTATGCATCTGTTTATATATCTTCCTGACCTCATTATAAGCTCACTGGAGGCCAAAAACCATATCTATTTCAGTCACCACTACATCCTCAGCAAATTACCAAAAGCCTAGCATTTACAAGGTATAGAACACATTCTTGTTGAATAAATAAATAACATCAGCTCTACTTTACAGGTGGAAAAACTAAATTCGAAAGAGCTAATGACATAACCAAGCTGAAATATTAACTACAAAGCAGAGGTTTGAACGTAGGTCTCTTGCTCCAAGTTCACTCTTTGCACCACACAGCACTCCCTCTCTCAGCTGAGATTGGATACATTTTATTAACAGAAGATCACATATTGTATTCCTTCATTCATTCAACATCCGAATAATACTTTCAGTGCTTACAACATGGCAGGAGCTGTGTTAGATGCTAGATAATTGATCAAAGTATGGTTTGCAGACAAATAGCTTACCTTTTAGTTTCTCAGACTCAACAACATGGGCATTCAAGGTGGGATCATTCTTCGTTGTCAGGGGCTGCCCTGTGTGTTTGTAGCACATCTAGCAGCATCCCTGGCTTTGACCCACCAGAGGCCAAGAACACCTGCCAAGTTATGTCAGTAAAATGTGACTCCAGACATTGTCAGATGTCCACTGTTGGGTGGGGGAAGAATTGTCTCTTGTTGAGAACCATTGCTTTGATGCAAGAGTGTCCCCAGTAAGTCGAAGATTTCATTATGGTGGCCAAATGGCATGGTTGTGAAAAGTCTACAGAAAGCACAGTGAAAGGACAGGTAATTGGACTGCAAGGGGAAGTGAGCCTTGGGGCTGAGGCTTGGACCAAGTTTCAGATGTAAAGTCAGAGTCATTTAGATAAAAGAAGGGGATAAAGGTTTTCCTGGGTACATGTCATGACATACACAATGACATGGAAGCGTGAGTGCCAGGGAACTGTGTAGAGTTGAGCATGGCTGGAGTGACCCAAGGCAGGAGCCCAGGGCAAGGGCTGTCTCTGCCAGGGAAAATTTTACTTCTTGATTTTACTTTTCCATCTCCAGTCTATTTCCAGTTTTACAATTCATGCTTGAAAAGTGTTTGTCTGCATTTGATAAATCAGGGGCCCCGGCTATCCAAGAAAATCTGATGTCAGCTTCACAGAAGGCTTTGCTTGCAAGACCTGTAGAACCCTCCAAGCACAAAACCTCATTAATGTGCTAGAAATCCATACAGAGGTGGGCAGAGATGGGTTTGAGTTTTCTGGGGTGAACTTTGTCTGGCATCTGATTATCCTCTGGGTTCATGGATTTCAAGAAACACAATTAAGAAGTAAGCTGACCGCCCGTTTGCGGGAGGAAGAATTCCTTAAGCCTCTTAGGTGTTATTGCTGGGAGTAATTAATTCATAGCTGAGGTTTCTGACTTGTGCCTGATGCCTCTGGGTTTCTAACACCCTTGGAATCTTTCTCATAAACCGTCCTCTGAGACCATGGCCTGTTGTGTAAACATAGCCGAAGCAGTTCAGACTCTTAAAGGTTGCAAATGAAGCATTGAAATGCCAAACAGGCAAATCCTAAATCCCAGTACAGAGAGAACAAAGAGGGCCCTGTCATTAACTTCATAATTTTCCGACGTTTATGCTGAGATTACCGGTCAGGACAGAGCAGCTGCCATTACTTTTGCCTTGCTTAGTTTATCTGGAATTAGGCTGTGCATACACTTATCTCCTGCTGAGGTCAAGTTCAGTGAGGATGGTGAGTGTGTGAGACCGGCATTAGGAAGCACTGTAAAATAACATATAAATCCCCAGAACTTATCTGTTCATTTAAAAACAAAAACAAAAACAAAAAAAACACACTTACACTGTGGCTCGGGAAATTTTATCCATCCTTTATACACATGCCATTAGCCCTCTCCTGCTTCTGCGGGAAGAGGATTATTTACCCAGATAATGGTGACAGCCAGCATTTCCTGAAGGCTTCTCCAGTCCTCATTCCAGAAGTGGGAGAAGCATTTTCCATGGACTCCCTCATTTAACCCTTACAAAGCCAGGCACAGCGAGGGCTGTCAGAGAGAGTGACTTCTGTGTCCAGGTCATGTGTTCCTTAGGACCTTACTCCTCAGGGCTGGGATTGCCCCAAAGGTCATGACTTTCATTGCCACCCTGAACTTGGGGATGTGCTAAGGAAGGGAGGAGGGTCGTGGGCACAAAGATAACCAGGCTGAGTCTTTGCTTTGCTGGGACTGCACATTCTAGCGTGGAGGAGACAGGGGTGGGGGGCAGATGTGGAAATATGGTCTGCACCAGTGTGTATGAGTGTGACAAAGAAAACTGCAACATGTTGTTGGAGCACGTGGGGAGTCCCTGATTTCCAGGGATGAGGGTGGGGCACTCAGGACATTTTATTTAAAGGTAGATAGCCATGAGGTGGGCTGAGAGGGCAGGTGCATGGTAGCTGGAGGACCTGGGCGTGCCATGGCATGCAGGCAGAGACTTGGGGCTGGCAGAGGCTCTGTGCAGACAGGATAATTCCTATTCCTGATCTAGCTAGACAGAGTAGGCAGGGGCCAAGAAGAAGCAGACCTGAAGAGAGACTGTCCTAACGTCCCCCTTTCACTGAGTTCATAGGTCGGAAAGCCTTCCTTCTGTTCAATTGATTTCTTGCCTTGTACAGGACTTCTGGTCCATAGACCCTGATATATTTCTCTGTCCCAGCAGTCATTCATCTAGAACTGGTCAGGAAAAACACTCTGAAAATTTTGTCTTTGGCACAGGGAGGATAGAGCCATCTGAGTGCTAGAATTTCCTGGAATGTACTCTGGTCAGGTTACTAGTATAATGATGCTGGGTGAGAGAGCACAGTCCAGAGGGACCCAGGAGTAACAGCTGTCCATTTATATGTTCGTTCATTTATTTATTACCTAAATACATCCTAGTGCCTTCTCTGTGCCAGGCCAGAGGCAGGAAACATTGCAGATGTTATTACGTGTAATGCCCCCAGACCTCCACGCAGCAGGTGCTCTTAGGCCCACTTACCGTTCAGGACCTGGTGCTCAGAGGGGGTTGGGCACTTGCTCTGCCAGCAGAGTGCTCTACCCTCCTCCTTGGCTCCAACACCTATGACCTCCCCACTGCACCTCGCCAGGGAGACGCCAGCAGCTTTTGGCAGGAGGCACGTGGCTGCGATACCTGACACACTCCTTAGAAAGACTAAATCAGGGGCGCCTGAGTGGCTCAGTGGGTTAAGGCCTCTGCCTTAGGCTCAGGTCATGATCCCAGGGTCCTGGGATCGAGCCTCACATCAGGCTCTCTGCTCAGCAGGGAGCCTGCTTCCTCCCTTTCTCCCTGCCTGCCTCTCTGCCTACTTGTGATCTCTGTCTGTCAAATAAATAATTAAAATCTTAAAAAAGAAAAAAAAGAAAAGAAAGACTAAGTCAGCTCTGGCCAGTGCAGAAGCCATATACATCCACTCAGCCATTTATCACACAAGCACATGGTGCACCTACTGTGTGCCAAGCCCTGTGTGGGGTAGTGAGAGGAGGCCACTGAGTTGAGTCTCTTGATGTGTGAAAACTCACTGCGTGGCTTTTTTCTGGTAGGTACCGTGCAAAGAGGGCCTTGCTCCTCCTGCCCAGCTGGGAGAGGGAAGGGATAATATTTATAGAGCACCTACTGCATGCCAGGCTCTATGGCAAATCCTTGGCAAACATCATCTCCTTGCAACCGTGTGAAGTAGGCACCCCTATTTTAAAGAGGCTCAGAAAATGCAGATTTGCCCAAGGTCACCTTCATGGCCAGTGGTGGAGCTGGACACAAGTTTTGCACCAGGACTACTTTATGTTGGACTTATTAACTCTTTTTTGTTTTTTTGTTTTGGTGCCAACACCACTTTTGATGGTGTGTTGAATTCCAGGGACATTTTCTCAAGATCACAATCTTGAATTCATATGTAAAATGCATACGGTTGCAAAAGAAATTGATTGTATTGATAACTATCAAAATATTGAACCATTTGAGATGCAGTCCTATATGGGCTTCTCTGTGATGCATTTAAGGACAAGACCTCTAGCCGGTCAGAATACTACCATCATTTGGAAACAACTGGGAGCACAGCAACCCCCGGGGCTAACAGGATCTGAAATGCCCTGTGATTTCTGCTGTGGAAGACACAGCACAAGACTGGGGTATTGAGGGTATCACTAGGGTTTATTACCTACATACACGATTGAAAGATATGCTCATTCCTGTTAGAGGTTAGTAAATTAAAGATGCAATGTTTTTCCCATCTAAGCTCAGGAACCGCCTCCCCTATAAATTCTATCCATCCAGTTTGATGCTTGCTTTTTGTAAGTTATGTCACTCAAGTCTGTTCAAGGAGAATTTGAAAGGTTTCTTCTGTGAGAGCTGCTCCACTGGGCACCATGGAGTGGTACAAAGCAAGTTATTGAGGAGATGGTACAGGGGAAGGCATGAAGCTCAGCCATCTGCCGCTGGAAGCTAGGCATTTGATGTCCCCTCTGCCATTTGAGCTGCATGTCAGCATTTGAGAAAAAGGAAGTGCAGAGAAGTTAAGAAATGTGCCCACGGTGTCATAGCTAGTAAGATGCCAAGCCCTGTTCCAGTCCAAGCCGCTAAATCAACTTTAGCACCAAGGGCTCGCTTCCCCGCTATCACACGAAGAGGTCAATGTGTGAGTCTTTATGGAGAGGGTTGGGTAATTACGAAAGCCTGCACTCAAGGAGGAAAATTGTTCACTTTTGCTTATTTTGTAGCCAAAAGCTGGGTCTCTTGGATCGGGTTCGCCTTTCTAATCCTCGTGGTAGCAATACTAAAGGAAAGCTATTTACCCCTCTGAATGTAGATGCCATAGAAGAAAGTCCTTCTAAAGAACCAAAGCCTGTGGGCTTAAACAATAAAGAACGTTTCCGCACCGCCTTCCGCATGAAAGCCTACGCTTTCTGGCAGAGCTCCGAAGGTGAGGCCTTTCTCCTTTCTTGCTCTGTCCCCTCCACTTCTCCCTCCGCCTTGTCCTTCCCTTCCTCCCCCTTTCCCCCCACGACAGAAGATCAATTTCTTGCTTCATCCCATGCACGCCCGCTGTGCTGGGGGCACCTGTGATGCCTCCCCATAGCTTGGGGGACGGGGGGGCTCCGAGTTACCTATTCTCTGGTCCAGTATCACCGCACTGGTCTGTGCAGGCACCTCCAGGGAGACTTGAGATGCCCAGCCTTGGTTCACATGGGTCTCATGGAAGGGAGGTGCACTGCCATGGAGATCAACTTAAAGGGCATGGAGGCCTAGGTGCAGAGTGATCTGAAGACCCAGAGGCCTTAGCATCCCCAGGGGGGTGGGAAGAGTTAATAGAGAAGAGCCCTGTGAAGACAGTGGGAGTGATATCTCTGTACATTCCTTTTACTTGTGACAAGGGAGGACAGGCAAGTCTCAGAAAGTGACCCCACAAGGTCATCAGGGCAGTGCCTGACAGAAAGAAGCTGGCCTCAGATGCCTGACTATAACACCCTTGTGGATGCCCTTTGCTGTTTTGCGGGGCCACTCAAGAACCCCAAAACTCATGTCCCCACCTTGCTAGCCTTCTCCCCAGTCAACATTCTTGAACTACAGGCACCTCTAACTCATGTCTGGAGAATAGAAGGACCTACTAAGAAGGCCTGAACAGTGTCACAACTAGGGAATACCATCTTGTTTCATGAAGTGGAAGCAAAGACTCTGGTGGTTGAGCTTCAAAGGCTCTGACCTAATGGGGTCCTGAAGCCTTTGCAAGTGCTATGGCCTGCTCTTTGATATGTGTGTCTCCCTCCCAGATGCTGGGACAGGTGATCCCATGGCGGAAGACAGGGCCTACGGGAATGACTTCCTCATTGAAGAGATGATCCCCACCCTGAAGGCCGCCATCCGAGCCGTCAGGTGAGGCCCCCTCTTCCCCACTGAGGGCCTAGCCAGACCACAGTTCAGCTCCCACAGGATATTGGCTTTGGGAAGGTGGGTGGGAAACCCTGTCAGGTAGTCCGAGTCAGGTTCCAGGGTATGTCAATACTCATACGGGCATGTTGCCTGAAGAAAAATGATCTCTACGTTAGCAAAGCATCATGGGTAACTCTTGCTCTCTGGTTTATAGAAATGCTCCCATAGGCTCCTGACACTATTTCCAGTTGTCATGCTCTTGTCTGGCTTTGGCCACCATTTATTTTACAGGTCTGCGGCATGGGGTGTATGTTGACGTGGAGGTTTCTTCCTTTATAGGCTTCTCAGACAAAATAGCTTTCCTTATCTGCCTCCACTCATCTAGCTCTTTTTAATTAGCACTTTTCAACAAGATAGTCAGTTATAGGATTGTGTGTGTATCAGGCGAGGCTATAATCCACCCTGGCTATATTTGTTTTGCTTCAGAATTCCACAAGAAAATGAAATAGGCTTACTAACAGGAAACTTGGATCAGGAGAGGGGCTTATAAGCACTCTACAATGGTGGCAGTGAATTCTAGAAACTAAGCTGAATTCTCCAAGAACTAATTGTGACATTTTCAGCAAGGTTCCTAGTCCAGTCTCTCAGGGAAGCACCATAAGGTTATAAAATGTGAACCCCAGCAGGGCCATTGACCTGGTTTCTCATGACACTGCAATATGACAGAACAATGTCTGGATGAAAGCATTACTACTTAGATGCATAACTATTTCAAAGATCTTATTCAAAGAAACAGTGAATGAGGGGCACCTGGGTGGCTTTGTCGGTTAAGTGTCCAACTCTTGATTTTGGCTCAGGTCGTGATCTCAGGGTTGTGGGATCAAGCTCCTCATTGGGTTCCATGCTCAGTGGGAAGTCTGCTTAGGGTTCTCTCTCTCCCTGTCCCTCTACCCCTCCCACTGTTCATGCACACTCTTCCTCCACCCAGCCAAATAATAAATAAATACGGTCTTTAAAAAAAAAAGAAAGGAAAGGAAAAGAACCAGTGAATGAATCTGTGCCAACCTAGAGGGAGGTCTCTGCTGGGATGATCCATGGTTTGGCTTCTGCCCTGTTCTTTTTAGAATTTTTTATTGATCCCTTAGTTCAGGGGTTGGCAAACTTTTTCTGTGAAGAGCCAGATAGTGAATATTTCAGACTTTGTGGTTCACAGGCCTCTGTTCAGGTATTTAGCTCTGACTCTGTGGCACAAAAGCAGCCATAGACAGTATATACATGAATGGGGGTGGGCGTGTTCCAACATCACTTTACTTTCAAAAACAGGCAGTAGGTCAGATTTGTTCTGTGAGCCACATGCTGCTGACACCTACTTTAGAAAGAGCTGCATCAAGGGCAGGCTTATAAAATGGCACCCAGTTGGAAAGGATGGCACATGAATTGGATGGCATAATCAATATGCCAAAAGAGTGTTGAGATGCTGGACCTGGGCATGTGACAAACAACATGAACTCTAAATGCCGTACAGAAAGAGACCCTCACAGAGAGAAGGGAGGGCCTGGCCTAGGCCGTTGTTTCCCAGCGCTGGCCTATGATTAGGGGTTTTACCTGACACCATGCTCACTGGAGGCTGACCCTGTCATGGGGTTTTCAAGGAACATTAGCCATCTGGGGTGTCTTTACTGATTCCCAGGAAGATGGAAACAAGGCTTTGGCATCTACAAGTTCTAGGTTCCCCCCTTTTATTAAGAAGCTGAGAAAACTCAGGGAACAGAAGATAGTTTCTCTTTTCTAGGCACTCACAAGTCAAATAATCAAAGAGGCTGTCGAGGAGGAAATATGTCCACTGTCCTCAAATAGAAAGCAGTGTGACACGGTGATTAAGAGCATGGGCCTTGTCAGCATACAAACCCGGGTTTGAGGACAGCTCTGACATTATTAGTCAGGTGGCCCTGGAAAGATGCTGGACCTCTTTGGTCCACAGTCTTATCATCTACGAGTTGATCTGTTAGCAGATTGTTCACAAACGCTTAGCTCAGTGTCTGACTTGGAATGAATGCCCAATGAATGTTAGCTCTTATTATTACTGTGATTTTATTATTACTTAAAGGATTGAAGGGAGGTAGTCATGAAAAAGTGGTACCGGCCAGCCTGACTCTGTTGTTCGAAGGGGTGGGACCAGAACCATGGGTTGGAACTTCTCCTCCCCGACCAAGTCATTTCTCTTTGGTTCTTTGCTCTGCCTGCCCCTAAGTTTACTAGGCTTGAATTGTAGTTTCCTTTACTCTGTACTCATGAAGCACACACGTCTCTACTTCACTTTGCAGAATCCTACAATTCCGTCTCTATAAAAAAAAATTTAAGGAGACTTTGAGGCCTTACGATGTGAAGGATGTGATTGAGCAGTATTCTGCAGGACATCTCGACATGCTTTCCAGGATAAAGTACCTTCAGACCAGGTAAGACAGTTGTATCTGGAGGAACTCTGCTCTCCTGACCACGAAGGAACCTGAGCCCATTGAATCTAGCTAGCGCTTAGGGTGAAAGCCATTCAGAAACGGTCCAGGGTGCTGGGGAGAAATTTTAAGAACAAAAATGTTCATCAAGCATTGTGGCTGTGAAAGCCAACAAGCACCAAACAGGCCACGAAGAAGCTCTATGACATTGACCTTAGCCAAGGTCAACACCCTGATCAGTTCTCATGGAGAAAAGGCATATGTCTGACTGGCCCCTGACTATGAAGCTTTGAATGTTGCCAGTCAGAATGAGATGATGATCAACTGAGTCCAAGCATCCAATTCTAAATATAAATTTTTCACCATATTAAAAAAAGTTCATCAGGTATTATTTATAATAGTGAAAATATGGAAACAATATCAACACCCAACTAATAATTGCCACCTTTTTTGTTGAGCACCTGGGTGTTCTGCATATGTATGTCTAATCCCTTATAACCTCATGAGGTATTGCATTGTGGATGTCCTCTTATAGTTCACAAAACCCAAGCTCAAGGGGCAGTAGGCTCACCTAAAATTAATCAGTGGCAGAGCTGGAAATCACACCACATCCAATTGGCTGCACAACTCCCATTCTATCTGATGCACCAAATTCCACTTTACCAATTATATAAATAGCAATTAAGAAAAAAATGTTCCTACTCTCATTAAAAAGTTATACAACCATCAAATGACATTTAAAAATGTATATAATAAGGTGCACCTGGGTGGCTCAGTTGGTTCAGTGTCCCAACTCTTGATTTCAGTTTAGGTTGTGATCTCAGGGTCATGGGATCGAGTCATTAGGTCATTAGGCTCTGCACTAAGCATGGATCCTGCTTAAGATTATCCCCCTCTTCCTCTGCCCTTCTCCCCAGCCCCCCTCACACTCTCTTTCTCTAAAAAAAAAATGTATATAATGAGATAAAAAAATGATGTGATCATTGAATATATATGCACAATATGATTATTAATAATACAATAAGACATATATATATACATACTTATACCTATATACATCCATATACTTAAATGTATACAAATGATTATGTTCCTATACAGTCTCTATATCAATCTAGTGATATTAATAATATATACATACCATATGATTACAAAAACATATGCACATATGTTTACTTAGAAATAAACCCACACACTCTCATATAGGGAACCTGCAGAAAAAGAGTAGGTCTTCCCCCAACAGACTGCAGTAGTTATACTAAAGTGATGAGTCCATGTGTGTCTTTAAAAAGTCCACTTTTTAAATTGATCAAATCTTTAATGAATTATAAAAATTTCCTTTTAAGACAAAAATCCATTTTAAAAAACCAAAGGGTAATATGAGGTCAAGACACAGAACTGACATCGGGAACCCAAAGCCCTATACTGGGGCTCATCCTCTGGCATGTGTGAGATTTCAAGTGGACACAAGTCAAGTCCTGTCTGGACCTCGGTGTCCTCATCTGAATCATGTTTCCCTGCCGGGGTGTCCTGCAGAGTGAACAGAACCATCAGATTGAATGAGTAAGACGTTAACCATGATGTCGGGTTGGAGGAACACTTATTTGTGACCTTGACTTATCCATAAATGGAATACCGACTGCTACCGAGCATAGTGGCAGGCATACAGTCGGTGCTCAATGCCTACTTCACAAACGGATGAGCAAATGAGTTCTGAGCCCAACATGCTGTCATTGATGCAAATATGACTCTCTCAGCATGATGTCTAGGACATACCAGATCAAGATTATTGGCCCATCTTAATGCACGCAGAGTGGACCTTCCAGCTGTTGTTGCTTCAGTGTTTATTAGGCACATTTATTTCAAAGAGCTGTGCCTAGAGGTTGAACACCCAGATAGCTAATTGCGTATCCCCAGCCATGCTGATAGGGTGGTAGGACCGAGAGAATGGAGGTGTGGTTGGGTATATTGTGGTGTCAGTGGAGGAGCAGCCAGGTCTGCAGAGAAACCGAGTGACCCAAGGCTCCTTTTGAGCGCATGGTCTTAGTGGTCCTGGGGCTGTAATGAGCCTGCAGGGTTGCTCCCACACCCCGCCCCAGTCCTGCAGGGCAGTGGGTACATCTGTCTCCAGTCGTGCTTAGGGCAAAATGGTTGGTGGAGTTGGCGCCTCATACAGAAATGGAAGCGAGGTGCAAGTGTGGGTGCAGAGCCATCCCCCCAGGGGCCAGGAAGCCTGAAGAGCAGCAAAGATCTGCACAGCTGAAATCGAAGCCCACAGTTGTACAAGAAAACACCCTAATCAGATTTTCAGAGAAAAAATAAAAATGGTGGACCACCAGATAGGCTTGCGGCACACATGACATTTCTTCGAAGAACCAACAAGACATGACCCTCACCCTGTCTCTGGTTTAGCTGCCTCTCTCCCCTGGGATGGGGAGATACGCTCGCTACTGTATTGAGATTATAAATTCTCTCTCTCCTTCATTCCCTCTTTCTCTCTCCTCCCCTACTCCCCTCTCCCTTCTCTTATATTATTTCATACCCTGCCTGGCTAAAGAGAGAAGAGAAGGAACTGCTCTCCTCTCTTTACCTGTAAAGTTCTTTGTAATGTAATCCCCATCTTGTGTGTCTCTTTCAGAATAGACATGATTTTCACCCCTGGACCTCCATCTACCCCAAAACATAAGAAGTCTCAGAAAGGGGCAGCGTTCACCTACCCATCTCAGCAGTCTCCCAGGTGGGGCATGGGGACATGGACTGCGGCTGCATGGCCCGTCCCCATTCCCATATATCAGCTCACTTCCTTTATGGCTGCGGGCGGTGGGGTGGGGGTGGGGGTGGTTGCCGTTCCTCTCAGTAAAATGAAGATAAGAGCTTGAAGCTTATTCTGGTTTGGGGTTATTTGCAAGGGAGCCATACTAAAGACTTATGTCCCTCTTTCCAGACTATGTGGGCGACACTCCTTCTGTGGTTATTGAAAATAAACATAACCCTCAACGTGTTATAAAAGTGTAGGAGCCCCACGAATTTATTGGAACACAAGAGAATAATACCTCATGAGAGCAGAGTTGAGGCCATTTAGCATTTCCTGCCCCATTAGCCCTGTGTTGACCAAACCCCCTCACAGAGAAGGAAATCAGGTGTCAGGCCTCTGACAGCATGGTCACAAGCAGAGAGCTCTGTCCGTCCCTGGGGCAATCCTGCTCTTCCCACACAAAGTGTTTGGAAATGTTCCTTATACAGACCCCAATGAACCAGGAGCAGTCCTGGATAAAGTCCACTGCCCAAATTAATACATTCTTTATTCCCAGAGGTCTTCAGGTCAGGGAACATGGATGAGTAAAGAAAGAACTCCCACGAACCTTAGAGCAATAAGTTTCCCTACTATAAACAAAGCAAGGGCACAAGCAGGATGATGTAAAAGCATCTGACCTTCAGCCTCAGTTGGGGAAATGGAGTAAGGAGTGGTGGACCTGGGGGTCCTGGAGGGCACGCGCCCCACTAAAGGAAATCATCATCCTTCTGCTCTGCTCTGCTGTTGTTAATTTTAGGAATCGCTATCCTCTGGTTCTGAGGAGTCTAATTTTTCAAGAAAAACTGAATATTCAGATGTCATATATGAAATTCCTTACTTTTGAAATGGTTTACATGTTTTTAAAACTCTGTGCAAGCGAAAGAAAAGACTGGTGGTCTGGAATGAGCACACAGGCCATGTCTGCTTTAAATCAAGACTGCTCAGCTGGAGACAGGCCAGGAGCTGAGCAGGAGTCAGGAGCCCCTGAAAGAGAAAACCAGCTACCTTCAAAGTGCCTGACACGATGGTTTTGAGCCCCAACCAGGCTCCCCGCAGGTTCTCTTCTCCTTTAGAACATAACCTGTACCACCAAGGAACCATCTCAATTCCATTCCCTACCAGAAGTCTCTTTTGCATCATTTTCCAGATCCCACATCTGTTTTCCCCATCCATCCAAATGGAACAGATGAGATATACCCACCATATAGAATTTCAAAGATTAGCCAACCCCCAGCCCAACCCAGCCTATCCTCCACACACTTAGAATAGAAGCTCTCAAACTTAGTCCAACTCTGAAATCCAAAATATGTGATTCAAAGGCACCAAACCCTCTAGGCACAGCAAGGTGCTTTATTAACTTTAACCCAGCTTAATATTTGGCTTCATCTATTGCCACAGAGAACAGTGAGACCCCAGTGCTGAAGGCAGGAGAAGGCTAGCCTTTCCTGACTCCCTCGTGCCTCCAGAGCGGAGTGGGTCTCTTCCAAACTGCATAAGCGTGAGCATGGGGAAGATAGCTCCAGGGACCATGGCTGGCTCTGCTGAGACAGCCCGGCAAAGCACAAGCAGGTACGACGCTCTTACCGAGACGCTGGCTCTTTCCTAGGAATGAACCATATGTAGCCAGAGCATCCACATCGGAAACTGAAGACCAAAGCATGATGGGGAAGTTCGTGAAAGTCGAAAGACAGGTAGGTCTTTCCTTTCCCTCACCAAAAAACAAGCTATAGGACATTTGTGTTCAAAGGTCATTTTTTATTTTCCCTAGGAAGGTAACAGTTGAATCTCTACCACTCAGAAAAGCGATGTGGAAATTACATCCCGAGTTAGCACACATTGACTCTGCAACCACATGCAAGTTCATTCATTGTCCTGAGCCTCAGGGTCCTCATCTGTAAAATGGGGATTCTAATACCCTAAGGTGACTATGAGGACTGAATGAGTTGGTACCCATGAATCGTGTGGAATAGCTGCTGGCACGCAGTAGGCCCTCAACAGATATAACTGTTCTTTGCAGCTATGGTCAGGGCAGAAAGAAAAGCCATTCCCACCCAGCACCATATCGAGCTCACGTGTCTCTTCCTCTGGGAAATGACTTCTGTGAGCACAGTGGTACACCGGACAGATGGGTCTGTTGGTTTCCATGAGGAGCCCTACCAGCCCTCTTATTTTATTCATAACCCAGCATTGGACCTGTGCAAGAGAGGCAAGAGGAAATTTGGAGGATTACCTTTTTTTGGCATATCAAGAATATCATTTTTCATTTTTAAATTTTAATTTATAATCTCAGCTCTTCCATTTCCCAACTCCGTGACCTTTGACAAACTATTTCCTCTCTCTGCCTCTGTTTCCTCACCTGTAAAAGAGAGATAATCACCTCCCAGAGCTGTTTAGAAGTGAAATGAGTCAACATCTTTAAGGGGCATCAAGCAGAGTCAGGTCCTTACTAGGTGCTCTAAGTATTAGTTACTGTTAAGGCTTGGATACTGATCCAGCCTCTACATGGTACTGTGCTACCTGGCCTTACCTGGAAGAAGGGGTGCTATCCTTGCCTGCAGTGCCTTCTGGGGAGTGGTGAGTTGTCGGGGAGGGAACACCATACATGCATGTACACACACACACACACACACACACACACACACACACGTGTGTGTGCACTCACAAAAATTGAGTCAGTTCCCAGGTTTTGCAGCTCGGAGAAAATACCACTTACCTGGCTGCAGCTCCCACTCCAAGGCTCCTAGCTGGGACCTTCAGTTCTAAGAGGCACAGTTGCTGCCCACTGCTCTTGGGTCACAGAGGTTTGCACAGCCCATAGGAGGAACAGACATTAACCACCCACAGACTTCTATCTAAGTGAATATTTGCAAATCAAGAACTCTTGCTCCTTGACCCAAATGGCAGCAGCAAAGCCATCTCCTCCTAGGGTACCACTTGTCTTCAGATCCCTTCTCTGGTCCCAGCTTTCACTTCCCAGAAAGCTCTTGCCAGGTTGTTTCTAGATTAGCACTAATCCATGTATAGGGCTCCAAGTTAGGAAGCATGAAATAGTCCATTGTTGTAAAGATGATAATTTGCAGGGACCCTCCTGCTTTCCTGTGGTATTTCTTCCCAACCAGAAAGAGCCACCCCCATCCTGGAAAATCAGTGACACCCACTTCCTTGTATCTCCCAGGTTCATGACATGGGGAAGAAACTGGACTTCCTGGTAGATATGCACCTGCAGCACATGGAAAGGCTGCAGGTGCACGTCACGGAATACTACCCGACCAAGGGGACCTCCTCACCTGCAGAGGTGGAGAAGCTAGAGGACAACAGAGATTCAGATCTAAAAACCATCATCTGCAACTATTCTGAGAAGGGCCCCTCCGAGGCCCCCTACAGCTTCCACCAGCTGCCCCTGGACAAAGTCGGTCCCTATGGGTTTTTTGCCCATGACTCTGTGAACCTGCCCCGAGGAGGACCCAGTTCTGGAAAGGTTCAAGCAACACTTTCCTCCTCAGCAGCAACGTATGTGGAAAGGCCCACCGTCCTGCCTATCTTGACTCTTCTTGACTCCCGAGTGAGCTACCACTCCCAGGCTGAACTGCACGGCCCCTACTTGGACCGGGTCTCCCCCCGACAGAGACAGAGCATCACGCGGGACAGTGACACGCCCCTGTCCCTGATGTCGGTCAACCATGAGGAGCTGGAGCGGTCTCCAAGTGGCTTCAGCATCTCCCAGGACAGAGATGATTACATGTTTGGCCCGAGTGGGGGATCGAGCTGGATGAGGGAGAAACGTTACCTCGCCGAGGGTGAGACAGACACGGACACGGACCCCTTCACCCCCAGTGGCTCCATGCCTCTGTCATCCACAGGGGATGGGATTTCTGATTCAATATGGACCCCTCCCAACAAGCCCATTTAGAAGGGGTTGTGGGCTGAGTTCTCCTTGTAATGTAGACAGACTTTGTATAGCTCACTTGCTCTCACACACAACACTTGACGGTGAGATCACCAGTAGCTGCATCAAACACATGCATGTGCGTGGCGGCCCCCCACCAGGGCAGGGGCTTTTCACGGCCTTCCTCCTCCCCAGGTCACCACAGTGAAGCTGCTTCCTTTTAAGCATGGTTTGCATGACTTTACAATATATAAATGGTACCGCTAATCTCTTCTAGGATATACATTTTTCTGCTGTTGTTAATTTAAATCATTATTGGACCAGGATGGGGAGAAATTATTGACGAGCTGTGCTATCTGTCCGTTTGGTTGGCTGCTTTGGGTTTTGGTTTGGTAAGCAGGGAATGTAGTTTAAGTTCTTTCTCGAACCACTGCCCCTTTGTGTAAAACAGACCAGTAATTAACTGTTTTCTAGAGTAAGCAAATAGTTTGCGAACAAAAATGCATTGCAAATCAAAGAGGTGGCCGACTGAGCTAAAACACTAAGAAAGGAACAAGACGGTCATTGCATATCCAAAACCACGATTTTTTAAAACTATTTTTTTGGGAAAAACTAACAAAACCATCTAAACGCTCTCAAAGGGACCTCATTTGCCCTGCCATTGTCTGTGTCCTGCCTGTTCCCTCATCCCTGGTAATCCCACGTGTAGCATTTCGAGGGAGTTATGAATTGGCGGGGAGAAAACACACACACAAGTTCAAATAGTTTCCAATTTATGTAGCCAAAGATAATGAAATTTATCAGAAGTAGGGTGCCCCTCTGGACAGGAGCTAAGATCAGTGCCTTTAAAATGAGGTTTCAACTCACATTCCTCCCCATGGTACTTGTACAAAATATCCATCTCAAATGAAAATTAGAAACCAGAAATTATCTGGTCCAAGTTTTCCTTTGTAAAAATGAGAAACCTTTGGCTCAGGTAGAGACAAGCCTGGGGTCACCTCATTGTCCCCTGGAAATCTGGGACTCAAAGCTGACTCACTCAATGCCCTGGTCTCCTGCTACCATACAACTCGGCCCCTTATACAGTGGGACCCAGAAATTGTGCCAAGATACCTGGACTCTGTCATGTGGCAAGCACCCACAACACCATTTTTTCAGCATGAGGGGGCTGTTTGCTCTTACTGCAAAAATTGCTTGCTTGATGCCTTGCATTTTGGTTCTAGGAGAATAAAACAAACACTTCAAGCAAGCAAATTTCAACACTTATTAATACACAAATGGGCAAAATTTTCAGAACCATCCAGTTTTACTCCTCCAGATTTTTTAAATGACAAGGAGCCATAAGATTAGCCCAAGTGTAAGCAGACCCCCTGGAGAGCACTGCCCAAGTGAATAAGTATTAATATTAAGCACAAGCCATCCTCTGGCCTCTTATGAGGTGTCACTACTTTCTGAAACACTTAGGTGGGAAAGGTTTCTGTTAGGTTTGGGCTGGATTAGCTAAATTATGACGCGACAGTATCACTGTCTCGCTCTTATCCCACATCTAAGCACTGGTTATGGATGGTTGCCATGGTTACCATCAAGATGATCAAAAGGGCCTAACCATCTACACGCAAATGATACTGTTTTCCTCAGTCTTGTCAAGAGCTATGGTAGCTGTGGCAGACATCTGGTTGCTGCTTTCATCATGACCTGATGCAGGAAACTTGTACTTTGTTGGAGAGAACTAGTTTCTCAGATCTTGGTTTCTTTCAACCCACAAATCAACAGTACTGTGCAAAAGGCTCAGAGTACCATAATAATGAAGGTGTGGCCCCTGACTTTAGAAATCATCATCAAAAGCCTGCCATTTTTACACGGAGATGGCATTTTACATGGAGAATCTCACAAATAGAGAGGTGTCGGCATTGAAGTCTAAGGTGGGAAATACACAAGAATGATCACGCAATTCAGACCTGAACCCTCCTCCTGTCCTATGGTTTCGCATTTGACCTTCTAGCAACCTGAAGGACAAAGGGAATGGATTATATGCATGAAAGTGCCATTGGAGTTAATGACCTAAGAAACCCTGTGCCCCCTCCTTAGGATTTGGTTCTTGCTTCTGACCCTCTTAGAATCTTTTACTACAAGTGATTGAGCTACCTATCATCTAACATGTTACTGTGTTTTTCTTTATGTACGTGAATTATTTGAGACAAAAAAAAGTGGAGAATGACTCAAACTCTCCACATGTGCACAAATTATGTTTACCTACTTTATTAATATTCTTACAGAACTGACGGGCCTCGGTGTCCTACCAACAGATGCATTTGCCAGGAATTCAGTAGAGTTCTCAGGTGGACAAGTGAGATTTTTCATCCTCAAGCTAAAAATAGTTATCATGGATCCAAAGTTAGAGGACTGCCTTAGATTCTTTGAAAAACCTACAAAGGATAAGAGTTTGTATTATTTCTTAAACCATAGGAGGGCAGTCTAACCTCCTCTGCCGGATCATAAGGCCAGGATGGCAGGGATTGATTGGGTTTATGTCTGTTACCATCACGTCTCCAACATGTGATAAGCTGTCATTATCAGCATAGACAAAGACAAAATACATGATCATGAATAACTAAATGATAAGGCTTTTTAAGAGCCGTTCTTTCCCATCTAAGAAGAAAGAGAAAACTGAACTTCTTGAATATTCTGTTTTGGTATCCCTTTACAAGAAAAAAAAAAAAAAGACCATTCCAGAAAAGCAAGCCAAAACTATTGAAGTCACCTGCTCACAGATAACATCATCACCTGGCTTGCACTGATGAAGAAACTCAAGGTATAGGACTGAACTTAAGTTATGGGGAGAAACAATGTGTGCCTCCATAATGATCTGTCAGAAAAAAGAAGAGCATGATGGAAAAATCCAATGGAACTGGTTAATAATGTGGCCCAAGATCATCCTGCTTCAGATATACTAGTGGTCCTGAAGCTGGCTGGGGAAACTACAGTAGTTTTAGCAAAATTCCATGAAATAATGACAAATTAATTCCATTGTAAAAACTAAGAATAATTTCCTTAAGTGGAAGTGTAATCCCATTATAGGTGTTCCGTTTCTGTGTATCACAATATGATATAGGAAAACTTTTAAGAAGTCATTTTGTAGGAGGATCAAAATGAATGAGAGAAAGCTATCTTCCAAATGTTAAGTAAGAGGTGACCAGTCAGGCTGAGAAGAAAGTACTTGAGATCAATGTGCATTTTGACCATCAAACACCAGCACACAAGCAAACCTGAAAATTTTAAGGAAACTAATTGTGGGAGGAAAACAAAAAAAAAAGCATCAAATTGAGCAAGTTCTATTCACTGACTATACTTTTTCTGGGAACTGAGAGCTTGGACTTAGTAGATAAAACAATGGTATATTGAAGATCTAGTTTCAGTGAAAGAATCTTGAAAACTGCCAAGATATACTATAGTTTAAGATGAGCTCATTAGTCAATAATTAAAGCATTATGCTTTGTGCAGGGAAGTTCCCAGACACTGTAAGTTGAAAGAATAATTAATTGTAGGAAATCCTATTATTATAGGATCTACTCACAATTTGCAAGACAATTCTTCTAAATCCATGCCACTCTACTGATAATATAAAAACATGTGTTTGTTTATTCATTTACGAGATTTACTAAGCACCATTTTCTGCTAGGCACTATGTAACACACTGGAAATTCAGAGGTAAGAAAACTGCAGTTTCTGCCACCAAAAAGCTAGGAATCTGGTGGCCTCAAATATTGGAGTTCCCTTCAAACTTTGTCTACCAGGAATGGAAAGTATCTAATTTTATCCCTGAAGACAAGTACACAGATAGGAGCTCTTCCTCACTTAGAATCAATGGGAGATTGAGCATGGAGTAAAGTGAAAGCAAGAATTCCCCATCAAAATGGTAATGACCCCATCAGCTCAGAGAAGACTGAATGGTTGAATGAGTGGTTTCAGTTTGGTTTCAGTGCTTTCAGCTTTATAGCTCCAAATACATTGTGTACAAAGGAGGTTTTAGAGTATCAGAACTTTCTAGAGTATCTAGCTTTTCTAGAGTATCAGAGCTTTCTCCTCCTCTTCAAATCCCGACAATGATTGAGTCTAGACAAGAAGCTGGGCTACTTCCATTTCACTGTGTTGACCAAGAGAAGCTTATGGTACAAGCCAAGACCCAACATCTATTTCAAGAAAAAGGTGTTCATCTGCCTGTGGTACTCTGCTAATAAAATTCTCCTGGAGCAAGAGAAGAAATCTGTTCAGTGGTCTAAGAAGTTGACTGCACTTTGGACAGTACTGACAAGCACACCCCCGGCTTACCCCAGAAGCTGCCCTGCAGCTGGTCTTTGTTTTCTGTGAATATGCTTTCAAGGCACTTAGGACCATATGGATTTTCTTTGTTTTCTCAACCCCAGGCATCCTTAGGAATTTGCCTCATGTCCTCACTCATCCTTGAAGGCTTGCTTATTTGGGGATGAACTTTTTGAAAGACTAGAAGTCCTTTCCTTGCATCCAAATCACCCAGTGTTCCACTGCTACTGATATTACGCTACTCAAAAACAAATCAATGGTCCCCTAAACAAGTCCCCTAACCTGATGTTGAGGTGAGAACATGTTAGGGACCAGGCTATCTCTATAGTTTTAGTGGTTTGGGAAAACCAACAGTGGGAATCTCAAAGAGACAGGAAGGATATAGACATGGCCTGGATGAAAATTTGAGACACTCACAAGTATTTGACTTTCTAGGTCTGTTTTGACTTTCAAATGGGACAGTTGGTGTATGTAAAGACTCTAGTACATATACCCATACATATGGGGACTGTCATACGTATTCATTTTTAATACTCTGTGTGGACTCCACTGTCTCAGTCCTCGGTACTATCTATGAACTCCAAATTTACCCCCCTGGAAAATCCTCTTCTTAGAAAAAGAACAGTGGAAATGCCATCCTGATTCAGGAAATTTTACAGGGACTTTTTTCAAAAAGTACATCTCTATAAATGAAATGAGGAAGGGCAGGAATGTTGAAATGAAGTTTGGGTTGCAGTGGCTGGGTTGTGGCAGTTCCATTGGACCCACAATACCACATGTTGAACCATCTCTCAAAGAATGATCTGTAGGAGGCAAAGCCAAATAGCAGGAACCATTAAATATGAAGGAACTAGTGGTTACAACAAGGAAAAGTTAACCATGCCATGATGTCTATCATACAACATCCTAGCAATGAATGGAGAACTTCCAGAAGAAAGAGTTCAAGCTCTCTCAAACTCTCTCCAGGGAGATTTGTTCCTAGCCTCTAACAACCTCAGTTTTGTTATTCCTGTAGGAAAATTGTGACTAGTGTCTTGCTTCATTGTTACAGATGCAGGGAGATACAATTTCATAGATTCCCAAAAGCTCAGAACAAGAAGAAACCTTGATCACAAGAAACACCACCTCTCTTCTTAGATCAGGAAGCAGAGGCTCAGCATAAAAGGAATCACACTAGTCACCCAATGGCTGAATGAGTGATTGGGTGGCAGAGTGAATCAAGAACCCAGGTCTCCTAAATCCTGGTCCAGATATTGGAGATCAAACACTGACAGTCACATAGCAACCAAGAAGAAAACATTGTGGGTCAGCCCAGAAGATGAAGGATAACTTCTTGGCCCACTCAAGAAACTGCTTAAACCAGACACATTGGTTGGAATTTATTCCCATCTATGGAATATGATTGACCTCATGCCTTGAAAGGCATGTTCCTTCTCCCCTAATCTTGCTGACCTCCAAAGTCCTGGCACAAATCACTGCTGCTGTGAGCAGGTGAGAAAAGAAATGAAGAACAACCTCATAGCCATGAAGGCACTCCCCTCCACTTCTCTGACCTCTGCTACTTTGTCCCCTCCTTGTTCTGCCAAGCCTGGACTGGTTCAGCTCTTTAGCCCATTGCTTGGACTTATTCAGTTCCAGAGCCATGCCTCAGGTGGTTTCCTCATCTGTAAGCCAATTCTTTTGCAGGATTTTGTCTTCGAAAAAAGTTAACAAGTTTGATTTAGGAAATGGGATGTGATTTCTTTGGGGATCAATATGACCCCAAGGCGTTAGCTCTACTAAGGTGTCCCTTCACAGTGGGATCTCTGGTCCTCACGCCTTATTTCTCCTGCTTTGTCCAAGAGAATGCCCATCTTGGCTGGGTCACAACTGGTACTCTAGGGTTGTCACCAAAAGCTACAAAGAAGCAGACAGGATTCAACTTAAGACACCTTATGTTTGTGTAACTGTGAAATTATTTTAGAAAATAAACAGGCCTCCCTGTTGGCTTAAATGAGGATTAGCACTGCTGGTTTCCACTTATGTTTTGCTTGGGACAGATTTGTCAGAATTTGGTGCAGCTTCCCAATAGCCCTTGCTAAACCCTGTAGAAGGATATTCAGGTCTTCTGAGTCGGTCTGAACTGGAAACCCCTAAGGCAAAGTCAGAAAGATGGCAGTAATTTTAGACTGTCATTCCACCTGTCTGCCTAGCCTCTAAATAGTCCTGTTCTGGGGAAATAAGTCAAACATGGGTCCTATACAAGAATAACCTGAGTGTGACTCATAATTAAGCAGTCAAAAGCCTGGCCTAGTGCTTGGGAATATATTTGTAATTCCTCTTAGGTGTGTCAAATGTACTCAATCTGATGCTTTGAGAGGAGTGAAAAATGGAACCATGTTTTCTTCCAATGTCTCGCTCTGCCCACAAGACAGGTCCAGGAAGGGGAGAGAAACTTATCCTAACCTGTCTTTGTGAGTTGCATGTGATGTGATGGCTCTCTCTCTTGACTTCTTGCAGTCCTCACCACAACCTCATGTGGGTGGTGTCAATGTCTCCATCATAGAGTTTGAAAAAACTGAACCTGAGGGGGGAAATACCTTGCCAAACACCATGATTATAGAAGCGGAGCTGGGATTGTAACCAAAGCTCATGTACCTTCAAAGATTATTCTCCACCTATCACACCTCCCAGGTCAATGGAAATGCTCCTACATCGTGCCCTATGGCCCTCCCCCATGCCTTGCCCTCCCATGCCTAGTGGACTTTAGAGTAAAACAATCAGACCCATTGGTTCCCCAGAGAGAACCAATGTCAGCTGCTCTGCTCAACTGATCAGTGGATCTTACCTATTCCTTTGAGTGGGTTCACAATTCAGCTGTCAGTGGCAGAAAATAATACGACATAAAACTTTCACCTTGTTCATGGTAGAATCCATTATTTCTTGGAGCTTGGTATGGCTGCAGATAATCCCACAAGTGCCCCTTGTTCTCTGCTCTGTACACCCCCACCCAGAATCTTCTGTCATTGATTTATCCAAACAAATTCAAATGTCCTTCCTGACTCTGGTCTTCTGTCTCTAGTCTGTACCTTTATTTCAGGCCTTGGAAATCCTACAGAGACAGGTGAGTCTGCAGAAACATTCTTTGGGAGACCGAATACTCACAACAGTTGTGTTTCCCTTCCTCAATATTAAAAAGATCACAGTTCCCCAGTGAGAAGTCAACTTGATGTGGTAATTGGACCCTATTTCCCCTCTGAATACTTTTCCAAAGAAAGGGAGAGCAGCTCCACTTCTATGTACCTGGGAAGGTTAAGAATCCACATGGGGAGGACAAAGTCCAAGATTGGTAGCAGCCATGTTCCAAGCATCAGAGATCTTACTATTGGAGACATGAGGCAGGCTCTGCCCCATCTTAAA